GAATCCAAAGGTTCTAAGAAAGAAAACAAGAATATGTGTCAACAGGACACCATGCCGCGCTCATGTCTCAATGTGTTTATGGTCAGTGAACTGTGTAATCTTATCATTTGGCATTAATTTGAGAAGTGTGCCTCACAATAAACATGTGCAATAAGATTCAACTTAATGTGACTACAACTTAGTTTGCGCTAAGGTAAACTACTTAACCAAAAACCATCACCTGAGAATTAATTTCGCACTATCACATTTCTATGTTCTGTGAACCGTTAAATTGGAGGCAAAACAGAAATCTTGTTAATAATTTGAAAAGATCACACCATAGTTACCATGTGTTCTAAGTTTCAATTAGAACATACTCATCCCTTCTCGTCCAATGAAAAGTCAGTTTTTTCCCTTCTAATTTTCATAGTACATGGCTTTAAATCTTCATAAAACATGACCAAGTATTGTCTAACCTTTACGTTGATGTGACCAAACTTCATGGTAAATAACCTTAATTACAAATTTTAACCTGACACCATTTACTTCTGCAGCCGGTTGTACGAACGTGGCATTAGCCTAATGGGTCATTAAGTCCTCATCAAACCTTTATGATGCATTAGGCTAATGAAGACTTAATGACTCATTAGACTAATGACACGTTCGTACAACCGGCTGCTGTACATTTGGCACAAAAATAAAAACAAGTTGCTTTCTTTAAAAAAAGAAAAGCAATACGTGAACCTAAGACCGCTGACTGGTCACCAAAAGATTGTTGCTGAATTTTTGTTTGCTTTTGAATTGAAATAATTGACTGTGAATAGAAGGAGATAATGATGAAGTTAAACTATCTTTATTAAAAATATTTAATAGTGTGTACATACTTGCACAAGTCAGTTGAAAGCAATGTTGGATAGGTGTGAATAGAAAAGTGTATATACTGCTACTATTTGAATATACATTTTAAAGCTCAAATATTTCATTTATTACTTAGGATTGTACGTCATTTTTTTATAATCCTATTGCAAATCCCAGTTTCTACAAACCGGATGTATAATGCAAATTGCACAAACCAATCGCAATATAAATTTAAGCACTCAGTTTGCTTTATAACCTGGATGCATTTATTTTATCTATCACATCTTTATATTTTGTTTCCTGCATGGATGCCTCCATATTCTCAACTCGTTATTGAAGTTGTCTGTACTCATAGTAGATGTTGTACAGATAAATTTAAAGTCCATTTTCCATGTGAAGTGAAATCCTGTGGCATGCAACTTATAAGAAGGTTTCGTATATTTTTCTTGAGAGTAACACACCTGCGACTCTTTTCACAAAAAATCTTAAGAGTAAAAATACTCGTAGGTCATACACATTTCAGTATAACTTACGATCAATTTTAATCGTAAGATTGTTTGTGAAAAGAGTCGCAGCTTCATTTGGACCTCTTATATAAGAGACTTATTTTGGTCTCATAAAACATCTTAAATTTTAAAGATTTCCTGATTTTACAATCCAAATATTTTACAGGGATACATGTTTTTAAAGAATATCTTATTTTCAGAAGTTTTATGAATACCTGATCATACTCTCCAAAGAACCAATTTATATAAAAAGACATGTAGATATGAAAAAAAAAAACTAGGATTAACATGTTGTACGCCAGACGCGAGTTAAGTCTACAAAGAATCATCAGTGACGCTCGAATAAAAATAGTTAAAAAGGCCAAATGAAGTACGAAGTTAAGTAATCTATTCCTTTGGTAGAAAATCCTTGGCATTTCGAAAATGTCAAAGTTTATAAAAGGACAGTGACTCAAAAAAGAAAACAAAAGAGAAACAGCTAGAGGTCAGAATACCATAAGCAATGAAGACCGTACTTGAAAGTCACATGGCAAGCTCTTATTGCCGTGTCCTGAATTTAGATAAGAAAAGCGAAAATTCGCATTCTCGAGTGAAATTAATATTTATGCATGAACGTGGTATTTTTGCGCAAGAAATAGTAAATAGAAAGCATACGCACTGATACCCTGGATAAGAATACGCATTTGCGTCATCACATATATTAATCTAATAGTTGAATTCGGATGTCAAACTACATACCTCAAGTGTTTTGAATCCGGATTCATTGGCATTTTATCCGGAATTTTTGTGAACGCAAACCGATAGTGTGCGTGTGAACAGGGTGATGTATAATGTGCATGAATCAAGACGTGTAGGATAGCTGACCAACACAATGAATACAATCTTCCAAACCGTACCATAGTACAGATATTTAGATGCTATAAGGTTGAACTAATAAAATTAAAAAAAAAATTAACATTATGATAGTAATTACATTTTGTTATGATTATTGTAAAATATTAATTACGTTTTGTGTGAGATGCAAGGATTTTTTTCATTAACGACCGTTGAAAATTTAGATATTTAGCTAACTTTGGGTATGCATCCCTCCTCATTGGTGCTCATACGTTACATATAATTTTCATAAATGTAATGACTGATCAAACCTGTGAGACATAATGCACGTATACATTACAATTTTAATTATATTCTATAATTATTAGGAATAAATTCAGTCTCAGTTTTACCTTAAAAATGTATATTCTCTTATTCTGGTAGTATCTTTTAATGAAATTAGATATTTTTTTACAGAAAAATCCTTTTGTTTGATTATCTTTCTGCTTTCCGACCACTGTGTTTCCGACCTTAGATAAATACTTTTAACAGAAATATCGTTTTCTTAATTTCTTCATTCTTTCCGACATTTTCTCATGCTATGATTGAAATACTAAATATCAAATGATAAACGTTCAGAAATAATCAGTTTATTCTGGGTCATTGTATATCAATAAACTATTCCCAGGTTTATTAAATACAACACACACAACGCGTAGAGGGATCGTCTCAAAGCATGAATTATATAATTGCGTTATCATTATACTTGATATTTAATATTCATTCACATTATTAAAAACATATATGTTTTGTCAAAAGGCAAATAGGTTCTAACATATAAATGATTTATAGAATGCAACCTAGTCTTTATTGTTTTACTTTCAAATCTACAAATGAACCGTTTGTCGGATTGTTGAAATATACAATGTCACGTTGTAGCCTATCCATAGAGGGACCGTATCAAAGACATAAATAACTACCTATATAAATGATGGAAAATTTTCGACACGTTCCGAGAATCGTGATTCCGAGGATATCGAGTGGCCCATAGACACTTATAAAACTCGCCAATATATAAGCGTGAACCTCACAGGGGGTTCACGCAAAAATTGTCGAGAATTATTAGGATTGAACTCATTTATCAAGAAGTTATTGATGTGTTAACTTGGCTGCTGACTTTCAAACTTTATACAAAAGTCCTTTGGATTTGATCCTATAAGAGACATTTTGAAATTGTAAACACAATCCTTATCCTGTGCAGTAAAAATGAGTACCGTCGGATAGAGCGCAGCGGGATTGTCAAATCAGTCTACGTATTGACTTTTACCTCGGGGCCGAGAGGAGAGGGGGGTTGCGACTTGGCGTTTTATTACAGTTTTTTTTCTTTTTTTTATGATCTAAGTCTAAAAATTTATGAAACAATAGATATCATTGAAAAATAATACTTTTATCCGTATGTTATCCGGAAAATGATAGGAGTCTAGTGGTTTTAGTCATCTTGTGCAATGCCTTAAAACCTATGTGTTCAACATAAGCTGACAGGTTTAAAAACCTGAGTTTGCAAGTACAGAAAATATTTTTTTTTATTATATCACTTTTATATCACTACAGAAGATACACAAAATAAAAGTTCAGTATCCATTCTTTATTTTCTTTTACAAAAAGTATTAAGATTATCCTTTTATTAATCATCTGCAGCCGGTTGTACGAACGTGTCATTAGTCTAATGAGTCATTTCAAAAAATGCTGTTTTAATTTGCAATTATGGAATACATATATTGATTTTGAGAAAAATAATTAGTTCTAAGCTGGGTTATTTGTGTGGTTTTTTTTTTTCTTTTTTTTTTTTTTTTTGCCAATAACATATCGTCCAATTTTGTCGCCAAACACGCTCTAGGCCTCTGTCAACTAGACCCTCTTACTTGAATATTATGAATACAGATTGCCTAATAAGGACTCCTTGAAAATGAATTGACGGAATTCACAGAAACTTGCAATGATTCTTCTATAGATTGGACACGAAGTTGTGCACCTGATACTTTAACTTTTGATATGAGTTATTTAGAGGAGGGGTTTCACATACCAAAAACAAAAGAATTGACCTTGCCATTTAAACTATATTTTGTGGAGAAGGTTGTCCCTGGAAAGTTCAAACATTTTCAAAAAAAGAAAAAAGAAAATGACAAACAGATCTCTAATTTGATAGAATACACATGACAAAATGATATTTATCTTCCTGGTATTATAAATACTTAAACCATTGCTAATCTATTTCCGCAAACCACATACCGGTAGTAATTTACAATAATTGCCAAACATCGAGGACTATATCAAACCTGATTTTTTTTATTGCAACGACGATAAGTATAAACAAAAAGAAAATCAATGTAGAATTACGGCATAACAAGCTTTAGTGGGATAGATAACCGACTGGAATCAGAATATAATGAAGTTTGCGACCGATTGTCATTTTTCAAAAATGCGAGTTAAGTACCTTGTGTTATATATTAAGGTTTATATAGGAATTAATTTTTTTTTTCAGAGACAAGTGCCTGTGGTGAAACGCTAATGAATAGGATTAATTAGATCAATTACATAATACGCAGGTGGCCATAGAAAAAAAAAACAGATGTTTTCCGAAAAGAGAGTAGAGACTTCCGATATTCCGAAAGACTACAAACACAACCAATATATATATACGTGAACCCTCAGGGGTTCACGCAACAACCAAAAGAAAAAGACATATAGTAGAGAAAACATACAAAGTCTCACAGATGTAATTCCCAGTCAATTTCTTAAAGTAAATAAAAATGGCATGTGATTCATATTCTATTTTTTCCTTACCTGTCTTTGTCTTTGCCATCATAATTTTTTTGAGAATCTTCTCTTGACTTTTAATTGTTTCTGTCAGCGTTTTCTCGACTTTCAGGATTCTCTGTTCTAGTCTTTGATTACTGACCAGTTTCCCTTTATTACCGGCAATGGTAAGTTTGCAAGCAGACGACAACATAATACATCCGAACATCAAAACAGTAGTACAGTATAGCATTTTAGCAAATTTCATACTGTCGTAATCAGCCAACAGTAACCATTTGAGCTGTGAAAAAAAGGAAACACTGGATAGGATAATATCAATTAAAAAGCTGTTTGTGTATTATGCAACTGATTCGAACGATCCTAGATATATAGTATATACCTTTACTTCAATACCTGTTTGATAATTCAAAGCAAGGAGACCATATTAATTTATCATTTCCATTCCATTTATCTAGTAAATAAAATACCACAGAGCATACAAGTCTGCTTTCTTACCTTATCGTTAGCCTAGACAGTCGGAAAGCAAGCCCTTAGAAACGACCGTTGTTGCTATTTTCTACAGACAACAATGTGACTGATACTAAAGCCCGCCATTCTGAAGTTGCGTTAATTTCGCGGAAAATTGAAATTGGCAGCAATGTGGAAAATTTTCTCTTTTCTGTTTCTTACTTGCCGTTTGAGTCAGAAATGATGTGATGTCTTTTTTTTTATCTCTTAACCATGTGTTTTATTATGAAAGAAAATATAACTCAAATTGGTCGTCCTTGGTCGTCATGAAACAAATACATTGAAGATTACGCGAAATTGTCTGCTATTTTTTTTTCTTCTGTTTTCACAGATAAACTAAGATTATATATAATCTATAGAAGAAGAAAAAATATTACGTATCTTAAAAAGTTTTAAAACTATGTTAAGTCCAACGTTATGTCACCCCAAGTTATGATACCCTATTTGAACATAAATTCCGAAGGAAAGACACTTTTTGACATTGACTCTAGTTTTTTATGTCTTACACATCGATGTCAACGTGCATTTGAACCAAATGTATCCTCGTATCATGGGTTTTCGTGCTATTTAGAATGCATTGTGACGTCACATTTTCCATTGAAAAAGCATGCATAGTACGAATTCATATCATAATGACGTACGAAAACATATGATCTGACGATAAACATTTAGTTTGTTTCTTTGAAAAAGCAATGGCGCATTCAGCTGTGAATTTGACTGGATTAATTATTCTCTTTTAGTTAACCTTTTCTCTGCCATACGGCCTATAGATCCGGCCTATTCAAAAACACTACTTTGAGTGCCACGGCACATAGGCCCAAAGGCCAACGGTATTTTGACGTTACGTAACAATAAACAATACGTCATAATGCTAGATTGAGGGATTTGGAAGATGGCTGGCGTCAACTCTATTCCAACTCCGTGGTTTTGGGTTTTGCAACCAGAAAAATGGAAGAAGAACCATAATTAAATATCAACCAGAGTTAACCAATAAGAGTGCTAGATATACACTCGTCGCCAATAGTTTATTTTTATTTACTGTTCTCTTTAGATATGATGAAAGTATTTACAAGACGAACAAATATGTTGCAACTTTGTTCTAATACTACTTATGTTTATCTTTAGATAAACTACTTGATCTGTATTCAAAAAGTTATTCTAACGAAAAAGAAAACGAAAAAGGATGACTTGCTTTCCCTTTAGTCCTACACTTTAAGAAGAACTTCTGTATTTTTTTTAAGTTAGCTTTTGGCAAGCGAGGGCATCTGATAGCTTGGTACATGTATAATGAAATTCTTTATGTTCATTTAATAACAAAAATGATGTCGTGTTTATATTTTGTTCAGGATTTTTTTTTTTTAAATTTATATTAAAATAAACATTAGTAACTTTTGAAAATTTACCGGTATCAACTATTGAAAAGGTGTGTTCAATGACTTACAATGTAACTTGTGAAATTCGATAAATTTCTACGGTGTTTCTTTTTTCACTACAACTTTACTGAATGCAAATGAAGTTATATAAAAACTCTCATCAGCTATTCTAAACAAATGTCCTTACAGACAAAGTAGCACAAAGACAAATAGAAGCAAATTGAATTGTAAAAAATAATTATACATGATAACATCAGGATAAAATAAAACAATAAACAAAAGAAGACAAATATCAAATAGACAAATACATTCAAACAATTTTTTTTTTCAACTCATAGTCTGTTAAAATCCAACCATACATGCGTTCAAAATAATACGTTTGTAATGTGTTATCAATTGAAAGATTTTACAAATACTTATTGTAAAAGATTGAACCTATAAAAAATGTGACAACCGTGTGTGCTAAACAACAATTTTGACGATGAGAAAATCAAAGAGCAGAAAACAGCCCAAGGCCACCATGGGTCTTCAACACAGCGAGAAAATCACGCACCGGAGGCGGGCTTCAGTTGGTCCCTAAACAAAAATGTGTACTAGTTCAGTAAAAATGGACGTCACACTAAACTCCGAAACATATAAATGAACTAAAATTAAAAAAAAACAAACATACAAGACTAACAAAGGCCAGAGGCTCCTGACTTGGGACAGGCGAAAAATGCGGCGGGGTTAAACATGTTTTGTGAGATCTCAACCCTCCCCCTATACCTCTAGCCAGTGTAGAATAAACAACACACAGCAATACGCATAGTGAAACTCAGTTTTAAAGAAGTCCGAGTCCGATGTCAGAATAGGTAACAGAAGAAACTAAGCAAAATGACAATGATACATAAATTAACAAAGGACTACTGGCAGTTACTGACATGCCAGCTCCAGACCTCAATTAAACTGATTGAAAGATTATGTCTTCATCATATGAAAAGCAAGCACAATCCCTCCCATTAGGGGTTTAGTATCATACCATAAATGTGTTTATTTCCGATGCAAAGACCCTATGAGTGAATCAATATTAATTCCAAAATATGCCATCTTTAATGACCTGACGACAGTATCGTAACTATATCCCTTATGAATAAGTCTGTTTAAAGGTTTGGTTAGCTTTTGAGGCGAATGACGACATTTTTGTGCTTTGTATAGAATATTACCATAAACGATTGGATGTGAAATACCTGAACGTATAAGATGTCTGCATGTTGATTTATATTTACGAATGATGTCCTTGTACCGATGATAAAATTTAGTAAATGTTTTGACTAGTTTGTGATATCGAAAACCCTGGTGCACTAATTTTTCAGTAATACAGATATTTCTTTCGTTAAAATCAAATACGTTGTTACATACACGAGCGAATCGAACAAGTTGAGATATATAAACACTATAAGATGGTGACAAGGGAACAATAGGAAATTAAAAATCATATGTTTTATCGTAAATTTTGGTATTAAGCTTCCCGTTAAAGATATAGATATAAAGATCCAGGACAGGGCAGTGTTCATTGTTAGTATTAGCTTTATCTAAAGTCAATTCACCAGGATAAATCTCTTTAGTGTACATACTGAAGTCGTCATTATTGAGAGACAAAATATCAACCAAATATCTAAAAGTGCTATTAAATTTTTGTATCAGATGTTTTTTTCAATGGGTCTTTGCTTATTTTAGTCATAAATTGTAACTCATAAAAATACAGAAACAGGTCCGCAATAAGTGGTGCACAGTTAGTCCCCATTGGAATTCCGATGACTTAATGATATACGGAATCTCCGTAGAGAACAAAAATGTTTTCTAGTAAAAATTCAAGTACAGTTATCGCATCAAAGCAGGTCCAATTGACATAGTTCTTTTGTTTGTTGTTACTAAAAAATGACCTAAAAGAGTTTGAACATATATATTCGCATTCTGACTTTTTAAATGCCCATTTAATTAAATGTGTGATTTTTTAATGAGATTATGAGGCAAAGTGGTATATAGGGTAGAAAAATCAAAACTTTGAACAGATTCGAAATCACTAATATAAGCATGCAATTTATCAAGTACTTCCAACGAATTTTAATTTGACACTCCAAAAGAAATTAATGCCACTATTTTCAAAGGCCTTATTTTGAACAATTTATTACCAGGTTTTTGATTGTACCAAGTGTACTAGTAAGTAGAATAGACAGTTAAGTAGTGGAACAATGGCTTGAAGACGAAATAATTTATATTAGTAAGGTGTTTTATGCATCTTCGGAAGCCAGTACATAGTTGGAACTTTCATTGTAGTTGGTTCTGCTTGTAAAGAGGTAGCTTAAAGTTTATGTTTGTTACAGATGTCATTTTCGAAAATGGAGTCAGTTTGAATGATGGTGAATTCGTGATTTCCTTTTGCAGAACCTCAATGTAAAATTTACGTCAAACAATAATGATATTATTGGCAGCCTTATCAGCCGGGACAAAAACAAATTCCTTGGCGAGTTCTTTTAGCTTATGTTTGATACGAGAAGTAGGGCTATTATGGTTGTTGTTAGGAGTAAAATGTTCTTTAAAATGTTTAATACGAAAATCAACTGACGGCGTGCATAAAGCTGAGTCCACAAACGTAACGTCTTCCAATTACTTCAATCATTTACGACGTCGGCATTTTTCCCCAGAAAACAAACGCGAAACAAAAACACTGGACACTTAGTTTATCACATAGCTTTAAACATAAACGACAAAGTGCAGCATATGCACATTCTGGAAATATAAATAAATATATGCGTAGAGCAGTGTAATGGAAATAATAACTTTGTCGTGGACCCTATTCAGAAAATACCGTTAAAACGTCATTTCTTTAAATTGTAGCATAATAGCTGGTCATAAAAAAATTCAGGTGTTCAGCCTGGACTATCGAATCATTCATATTTTGCAGATTTTCTTAAACCTCTTGTTATGCACATTTGGAACATAAAGTTATTTTGAAATAAAAAATTAGCAATTAAGTATTTTTTCTTACCGATTCTTCCATTTTCGAATATTAATCCTTCCAAATTACTACTTCTTACACATAACGAACTACATTCCAAACTCATCCACCATGGCCGTTTTTTATTTTTTTTTGCGGTGAATTTCGTATGATGTCATACATGTAGTCCGAATCCGAACAATTCTATTATACCAAAATGCGGGAAAATATGTTGAATTTGTATAAATTTTAGGTCAAAAACTCTATTTTATGCTTATTTAATGTTACAAGTTTCACATATTTTTGCCGTTTTCTCTTTGTTCGTTTCATACTTTATAGATTTAATTTTGAATACCTTATTAGTAATATGGATTTTAATGGCTAGCATTCATCATTTTATCATAAAAAAAACTTCCTATTTAAAAGATATTTTAAACACGGTTGTATAAAACTACTTTTAAATGCGCCTTTCACAGTTGCCTTCAACTTTGTGCACGCCGTCACTATGTTCATTACTGAATTAAAAAAAGAATCTAAGGATTTTTTGTCAGCTTTTTCTCGTTTTATCCATTTTGTGCAGAAAGTAATTTAACTTTTGGGATACAGATCACCTATTTCATGTATTTGTAGGTTACACATACAACTTCAAACAAATAGAGCGAATCAAAACGAAATCT